GTTTTCACCATATTCTGGCAAAGGTACTGTTTAGACTAAAGTCAACATCCTTTAGTTTTCAGGTGTTGGAAACACATGTCAGCATTCTCACATGAATGGTGACATTTGCCAACATCTTTTTAAGGAGAAGTTGGGGGCAGTCCAATGGAAATTACATGGTTTTTGGATTATAATACAGGAATTAAACATGTGATGAATTCCACCACCACTCTTTAAGTAAATGTGGCAGTTTCAAAAGTCCCCCGGGGTAGTTTTATACCCTTGGCTACTCTGTGTGTGTAGCTTCAAATTGATAATTGATGCCTGGTGAGAGTGTTCTTAGGAAAGGAATACTCAAAAAGTGGATTTTCCAGTTCCATCCTTTAAAATAGAGCCTACAGCTAACTGGATACTATACCATGAAATCTTTGCTCTGTTCCACTCTTCCTGAAAAGTTTAATGAAGGGCTCTCCCACACAACCATATAACCCAGAATATCAAGGCAGAATAACCTACAATATCTGCTTTGAACTGGGTTATCTGAGTCCACACTGCCATATATTCCAGTTCAAATCAGATAATGTGGGATTTTATTCAACTGTGTGGAAGGGGCAGAAGTCTAAATATCCACAGTTCTATCCAAGGGATTTGAAAGGGGCAATTACCTTCCCCTTCCCTCACGATCTATAATGCACAGTCAAAAACTGTACTGGAAGGCAGTGCAGATGGGTTAAGGCAAAAATTGAGAAAACGAATGTTTCATCACTCGTGGCTTTTCTTTAAGGTGATGTTGCATTTAGACTCCAGCTCTAAATTCCTTCATCAAGGAAGGCTTGGACATGTTGAACCAGTGTCTAGATTAGATAGTAGAATGGATGAGGACCTGCCAAGAAATCTAATCTTGACCGAGGTGTAACAGATCGATAGTTCTCTAATTCAGCGAGGATGGGATTTAGCTGGAGGTTTCCACCCATGTTTTTCATTTTGCAAAAATTGTATAAGAACAAAAAGGAAGAGAATTCAGAAAACTGAATGAAAAAAAAAGTATGCCTATTATTTGTTAGATTTCCATTAAAGGTAATCTGTCATGCCCAGGCAAGCTCCAGTTCAGGAAACAAAGTTCTTAAAGTCGAGAAACTTTATTTGAGATAATAAAATTGTTATATCTGAGGGATGAATAACTGCACAGTACATTTATAAGTAAAGCAGTTCAAATATTCCACAGGCTTTCATTCTATTTGTCAATATACAACACTAGCACGGCTTTCTCTCTGATGGTCATAAAACAAAACAGTTAAAATATCCCTTTGCCCCAACTCTTTTATGAGACAACATTGGATCTGCTCACAGTTAACTGCCTCAATTTTTCAGCCCTCAACCATGAATCTACCAGGTATAGATAAGCACTTCCTAGTTAATGACGGATTCTTCACCAGACACCAAGCAGCTACCAGAATGCTTGAAGCACAACAGCACACATCATCCAAAATACAAGCAAGTATATGCAACAAATGACAAATAGTCATGGCAGGACTCATGTGCCTGACATTTCTTCCTCTAAAAACAATCCTGAGACCATGTTTGTTTGTTTTTAAATTAACACAGAAGCCAGTACATTTTTAGAATCCACCCATTCTTGCTTCCCTGCTGGGATGTTTTTCCACTTCACAAAATATTTTAATTTGCCTTTATATAATCAAGAGTCCAGTGTTTCCAAAAGTTCAAAATGTTGTCTCCATCCGTCATAATAGGTTGTGGTGGAGGGTTGTCCTGATCAAGCTACTGATTTCAGCAGGTTGAAATGAAACACACTATGTAGGTGCCTGTATGTTCTGGATAAAATTAATTCAGCTGTGACCTCATTTACAAGTCTGAACAATGAAGAGCCTCACTTATTTTGGAGCAAGTTTTCTTGAAGGTTATTAGTTTTTTTTAAGGTAGGCAAATATATAGCTTGTCCTACTTTCAAGTCCCAGTTGACATCATGGCATTTCTTTTCTCAGCCCCGCTGATGTATAAATTCTATGCCCTTTACAACAGATGTAATTTTTAAAAGTGAGTTCATTTGTGTGTGTATGGGGAGGGGGTGTGTTATCCACGTGTTATGTGGTATGATCACTCCGCTTGTTTGGTTGAATTGTAAATAGAATGTGCACCACAACCTCCTGCTGGCTTTCATACTATGGTAAGCATAGTGATGCATCCCCCCCCCCCCCCCCAGCTTCCTTAAAGAACCAACTCTGCCAATAGAAGACTTGTTTTACAGTGTATGTGCTTGCAGCAATTCCATGGATTTTATAGGCATTTTAAAATGCAGTGAATACTCTAATGTGGCTTTGCCAATTCCTTCCTCTGAAATGTAGCCTACAGCACCTGGTATTTATTCATTTTCACGGGAGTACTAACCAGGGCTGACCGTGCTTAGCTTCCAAGTTCAGACATGATCTGATGCCTTTAGGATCTTTATGGTCCAAGTACCCTCTTCTTATGTTCTAGCTCTTAGAATTGCTATATACTGGACTGGCATTTTCTGGGAGGTGACACTGGTGGAGGATCACTCAGAGACAATAGCAATAAAAAAATTAGTTAGATCTTGTTAGTACTGCAAGTAGTATTAGTTGATTATTTTACTATTGTAAAGAAAGAGGCTTCTCTGGGGCCCAATAAAGCCTACAGCAAGGAGTCTAGCTTGCCAATTCTTTCTTGAGTTGCGGTGCTCAGAAACAATATTCCAGGTGAATTCTGACCAAAGCAGAATAGATTGGTACTGTTACCTCCTTTCAGACCCTATATGCCCACTGATGTAGCCTAGAATTGCATTGGCATTTTTAACTGCCACTTCACACTATTGTTCCATGTCCAGCTTTTGGTCTATTAAGACTACTAGATCTCTTTTGCATTTACTGTTCTCAAGCCAGGTGTCACCCATTCTTTATCTGCATTGTCTGTTCCATTATTTTTGAATTGTTGAATTGTTCTCTCTTTCTCCCACTCGCCTGCTCTTGTGAGTATTTCACTCTATTGATTGTTCTTTCTTTGGTGGTTTCCCCTATGACTATTCCTTATATATGCCCCTTTCGAATCATAGCTCAGTTGAAATTTATATAGACATTCATCCTGGTTTCTTTAGACCACCCCTTTTTTTCTTCCCTTTGGAACTATTTAAAATTGTGCTTCTACTGTCTTGTTTTAAGAAGCTTCAAAAACCCTTCCAGACAGGCTCAAAATCCTTGATGGATTTCAGATTAACCTGAGACATCCAAACAACGCCTCTAGTACATTTGGATTAATCTAGAGTAAACTGGGATTTCCCAGTTTACTTCAGATTAAAAAAAAAACACCTCAACAGATCCGAACTTTACTGCAAGCTCTGGGTATGTTTAAGTGCTAGGTCTTTGGGGATTGACTCTTGGTACCATCTTCCATGATCCCAAGGGCCAGTCTCCATTGCCATCCTGGTTCTTGGGGATGACATCTCTTGTTTTCAAGACTAATCTCACCATCTCCTTCTGGGTCGATCTCTGGGAGGGGATTTTGACCTGTCTGGAAGAACCCTCCCATCTATCACGAACTCTTCCTTTTTAATATTTGTGACAATGGGCTCACACCTGGTATTTCCCTAAGTTTATTTCCCTAAATTTAGGGAAGTTTGCTTTCTTAAAGTCTAACTTCTTGTCTTACAATTTGTGCTGTATAACAGATTACAGTAGAACAGAGTCACTCCCACATAAGGATTTCATCACTTCTACTTCATGAACCAGATCATCCATATTTATTAGGATGATATCTGAAATAGCTGATCTTATTGTTGCTTCTTTCTCTTTCCGAACAATGAATCATTGTTTTCAAGACTAATTAAGAATTGATTGGACCTGATATCTTGACAGTCTGATTTCCAACAAAGATCAAGACTGTTGACATGCATTACTGTCATCTATTACTAACACCTCTCCTACTTGAAAGTTTGGTCATCTGCTCCAATAAGTTTTCATCCAAGTCCTCAGATTTCTTGAAGGTGTTTAGTAGTTCCACACAATAACATCCCCTTTTCTTTCCCTCTTTAAGTTTTTCCAGATGTTCTTAATCTAGCTTCCAGAAATTAAGTAATGGGTTGAGCCATCGTTTTTCATAACCTACATAGTTAAATCTTTTCTTTTGACTATGTAGATCAAAAGAAAGCACAGCCTGATTTGCTTTTGAAATTATTTTGTGAGTTCCATTGTGCAAGGTAGGTTTACAATATGATCCTACTGCTCTGCCTTACCTAAGTTCATCTTGGACATCTGGCATTTCTCAATCCATATGCTATAAGTCTTATATCATTTTGAGCATCATTTTGCTTGTATGAAAGATTAATGCAATGTTCTTATGGCTACTAAAATCCCAGATGTCCCCTTTCTTATAGATTAGAATGTATATGGATCATTTCCAATCTGTGGACCATTTTGTTTTCTGTATTTGTTGGCAGATGTTTGCCAGAAGTAGAGTAGATTCTGAATATTGACAAAGCTGTATTCGTATGCTATCTATTCCTGGTGATTTGCACTCATACCACCTTGCTCACAGGTTTTGTACTCTCGGATGCAATCATCCACAGGTAGAAAGTATATCCCCCTTAAAAATCCAAAATGTAAACCTTGATGTTACCAATTTATATAAGAAATATTATTTCACTGTGCTGCATGGGACAATCCTGAAACAAATGTTCATAAGGGCCCACAGTATTTCCCTCAAGTTCTCTGGATACGGCTTCTGGTTCACTTTTTTAAATTGTACATTCATCTTCACATGGTTATTGGTTGAATGTATCCCTCAATTTTCATCTATTTTGCTGTATTATTTAATTTTTCAGTGTATTTTTTCTCTCAGCTTTTTATTTGCAAACCTTTTCTGAACAAATCTTGCCAAGAAATCCTGTGATAGGTTTGCCATAGAATGGAAATGCATGAAGACACACACCAACAATTAAACTTTTTACAATGTATATGTGTAACATAATACAGAACTTTCTGACAACTAATGCCTTTAGTGCTTGTTTTTAACTGTTAGATACTTCTGGAACAAGCTGCAAACCAAAGGACAATGTCTTCAGTTGCAACTTACTACAATGAGAAGTCAGTACTTGTTACAGGAGCTACAGGTTTCATGGGCAAAGTACTTGTGGAAAAACTTCTGCGCTCCAGCCCAGATGTGAAAGCAATTTATATTCTGGTGCGGCCTAAAGCTGGACAGCTGTTGCAAAACAGAGTGGAGCATATGGTGAAATGCAAGGTAGGAAATTTTAACTTTATAAAGAAAACTATGACAGTTGGTGATCTAGTCTAGCTATATAATAAAAATGAAAAGATGCTTGTATGTACGTAGACAGGCAATTTCTGAGATAGCTCCCACTTCCAGAGAGCATTGTGATTCCTCCAAACAGCAGATCTTGACCAAACTTGGCACACAGCCCCCCCCCAAGAAAAAAAATGACTAACAGAAAATGCTGGAGGGGTTTGGGGGGAATTGACAGTGGGGATTGGGAGTTATAGTTCATCCACATCCAGAGAGCACTCACAATCCAACCGATAATGAATCTGAACCAAACTTGGTACACATGATCAACTTTGAATACTGGTGGGGTTTGTGAGGAGTTGGCCCATGATGCTGGGAGTTGTAGTTCACCCACAATCAAAAAGCACTGTGAACGCAATCAATGATCAATTAGACCGCACTTGACACACTTACCCAACATCACCAACTTTAAATACTGGTGGGATTTGGAGGAAATTGACCCATGGGGGGGGGGGGCTGAGTTTGTTTCGGGGGGGGGCTGAGTCTGAGTGAAAGAGGGTCTAGCCTAGCAAACCTTTTGAATCATTACCCCAATACCCCCATGCATATGGGATATATTGAGTATAGTGACCACATCATGATATCTGAGTGAAAGAGGGTCTAGCCTAGCAAACCTTTTGTATCGTAACCCCAATACCCCCATGCATATGGGATATATTGAGCATGGTGATCAGATCATGATATGAATAAACATAACATTTAAATAATGTACCAGTAAGGCCTTTTCGCAAACCACCCTGGAATTTGGGGGGGGGGGGCTGAAGCCCCTCAAGCCCCCCCCCCCCCACAGCTACATGCCTGCATGGTGTTGGGAGTAATAGTTCATTGACAAAGAGCATTGTGAACCCCACTAACAATGAACCCGCACACTCCCTTTGATCATCTGGAGAGGCCCTGCTCTCGATTCCACCTGCGTCGCAGGCGCGTTTGGTGGGGACGAGGGACATGGCCTTCTCTGTGGTGGCCCCCCGACTCTGGAACTCTCTCCCCAAGGACATCAGACAAGCCCCAACGTTGGCTGTCTTTAGGAAGAGCCTGAAGACCTGGCTGTTCCAGTGTGCCTTTCCAGAATAGGAAACTCCTGGTTTCAAGTCCCAATTGCACTTTGTTAGAGACTCAGGATTATCTGCACATTGCACCTACCTCCATATACCTCTACATATTACCTGTCAAGTTCAACATTTTAATTTGTCCATTACATTTGGCCCGGCCTTGGTTTTAATTGTGTCATGGTGTCATTGTTTTACTGTTTTATTGTTTTGCTTGATGTTTATTATTTTTTTTGAGTTTATTGTGTATTGTATGTTGTTGATTGTTGGCGGCCTTGGCCTTTGTAAGCTGCATTGAGTCCTACGGGAGATTTTGCGGGGTATAAATAAAGTTAATAATAATAATATTAATAATTATTTGGACCAAACTTGGCACACTTACCGAACATGACCAACAGAAAATACCAGAAGGGTTTGGAGGGAATTTACCTTGGAGGTTTATTTATTTATTTATAATTCAAACTTATATGCCGCCACTACCCTGGGGCTCGGAGCGGTTTACAAGAACAGGCTAAAATCTAACACAATTTAAAAACAATTTAAAACAATTTAAAAACAATCTAAAAACAACAGGTTGGGGGTTATAGTTCACATACATCCAGAGAGTACTGTGAAGCCAACCAACAATAGAGCTGGACTAAACTTCGTACACATATGCCACATGACCAACTTTGAAAACTGGCCCCATGGTGTTGGTTGCAGTAGTTCACTGACAGTCCGATAACATTGTGAACCCCACTGACAATGAATCTGAACCAATAATAGTTGGATCTATGTGCATGAAAATGAAGAACTACTGCCAAAGTTTTCAGGGACAGGAAGCAGACATGGAATCTTGACTCTGTCCATGTTCTTTTCTTTTCTTTTTTGTGAAATGCCGAATCTGCAGTGGGGATGGTGCAGAAGCAGAAAATATTGAAAAATGCTCAAAATCTTCTGTAATCTTAGTTTTAAAAAAGTTTGACATTTCTCATGATTGTGTGTGAAAATGGAGAATGCAACAATCTACATGCCTGTGGTTTATACCAGATTATTGTTTGCTTCTAGTCTTATTTTGGCTCTATTGTAAACTCTCTGCAATATTCATCTTAACTCCAGGCCCTACTCTTCTGAGTTGTATAGTATCAATACACCTCTTTTCGCTCAAAGCTAAGCCTTAAAAGTGGTTTTAGTTTTAGTGCTTTGACTCTTGTGTATTCAGTTGCTCATAGGCTGTTACTACAGTAGCAGTTTCTAGAATACAACTCACGGACTGCCGCTGTTGCTTGAATATTTGAAAAATATTAGCATAAACATAGCATAAACACAGTTTTGCATCATTCCTTTTTCTATCAGAAAAGAAGGATCAAGATTCATCAGATGATTGCTTAGGTGCCACTTCTGAATATCAGCTATAGAGTCCAGCCAACAAAATATAGGTTTCTGCATGATGGTATACAGAGTTTTAAATTGCTTTTGAGCCAAGACAAAATTATTTTCCCATTTCGTCCGGTAATGAGGAATAGATCATTTTTAGTTTCAGGGATGAAAATAAGCAGTCCCCCAGTGAACAGTGCTAATTAAAAAAGGAATTATCAGATATCTTTACTTTAAAAGTCATTTGGTTGCAGGTTTTTTTTTGGGGGGGGGGGGTTGTTTGTTTTTGTAGAAGGTATCTCTCTGGAGGCAGGAGATTCATGACTCTCCAGCATTGGCTGAGCTTACCTCAAGAAATCTTTTCTTTAAAAGCTCCGACCAGCTGTTTCCACGGAGCCAGGTCTCCCCTCACCCATTTTAATCCAGCATGAAGGTCGGATTGATGTTTCCTTCCTCTACTCTCCATTGAGCTCAATGTACCTAATTTTTCTCCTTCTGCAACCAACCTGGAAGTCAGAACAGAGCTGTCCAATCTGTGTTATCACCCCAATCTCTCAAAAATGCAGCTTAAAAATACAGCAGGCAACAATCATGGATTTCCTGATTTCAAGACAGAAATGTTGTATTGTGGAAAAGTAAAAAGGTGATAGAAAAACAGAAAACATGTGTGCATGTGTGACACAAAGGTGGATATCCAAATTGCACAGCTACATTTATTTTTATAGGTAAAACAGTGCAAAGATGCCCTTTTGAGGTGTTACTACATCAGTGTTCAGCTTAGTTGCTCAAATATTATGAGCTGATTCTGCATCATAGTTAATTCCCTATTATCTTACACCTTCTATGTGTCCTGTTCTAATTAACTGATACTTTTGCCTTAACTCATCACATAAGCATTGTCTCCAAGGCTGTAGTTGACGCAAGCGGTGTAGGGGAGAGAATCAACAGTCCCTGGCTATCAGGGTCATCTGTGCCCAGCAGGATGGGCTCCTGTGGGTTCTCAGTGTGTCATGATACGTTAGTGTGTCATCTGCCATGTGTAGGTGTGTTGCACAAAGATGCCTGTTAGTAGCCTCTCCCAGGTCACAATAGCATAGTGGTGGGAGGGCCAATTCAATCCCTCTGCAAAGGAGATGCCAGTCTTAATTATTTGGGACCAGGCATATTTTTTAAATAGATTCTTCCCCCTTCCCTTTTTGAACTTTTTGTGACTTTATTTGTTTCCCTTCATCATTTTGGCATCTGTGTTCACTGGAGAAGCTCAATGGAAAAGGGTTCAGCTATAGAACTAAGGACCTCTAGTACAAGACTAACTTTTGACACAAAAAATTCTTCCTTATTTTGATTAGTTAAATTATTTAACCTTTAATTTAATTTCGTCCCAATACATTTTATCTCTTTTAAGAGGCTGGGTTAACCTCCAGTTTGCTAGCAAAACTGCATTACTGTGTTGCAAAATTATGCATGTCTGAAAAGACAACATGAAATGTCCGGGAGGCCTTTTGCACAACTGAGACTTGTGCGCCAGCTGCGACTGTACCTCGCAAAGGTTGATCTGGCCAGGGTGGTCCATGCCTTGGTCACCTCTAGATTGGATTACTGTAATGTGCTCTATGTGGGGCTGCCCTTGAAAACGGCTCAGAAATTCCAACTGGTCCAATGGGCGGTGGCCAGGATGTTAACTGGTGCTCCTTATAGAGAGAGGTCAACCCTCCTGTTTAAGGAGCTCCATTGGCTGCCGTTTTCCTTCCGATCCCAATTCAAGGTGCAGGTGCTTACCTACAAAGCCCTAAACAGTTTGGGACCTGCCTACCTGTGTGATCACATCTCCGTTTATGAACCCACGCATTCCCTTCATTCATCCGGAGAGGCCCTGCTCGCGATCCCGCGTTTGGTGGGGACGAGGGACAGGGCCTTTTCTGTGGTTGCCCTCCGACTTTGGAACACCTTCCCCAAAGACATCAGACTAGCACCCACGTTGGCAGTCTTTAGGAAGAGCTTGAAGACCTGGCTATTCCGATGTGCCTTTCCAGAATAGGAAAACTCCAGCACTATGTCCCAGAAGCACTTTATTAGAGTTTTAAGATTCTCTGCACATTGCACTTGCCCAGAAATCCAACATACCACCTGTCACACCCAGCACTTTTTAATCTGTACCCATTACTTGGCCCGGCCCTAATTTTTACTGTGTTATGGTGTTATGTTTTGTTGTTATTGCTTTATGTTTTTGATTTGCTTTGAGTTGTCTTTGTTATGCTGTTGTTGTGTTGAGGCCTTGGCCTTTGTAAGCCACATCGAGTCCTTCGGGAGATGCTAATGGGGTACAAATAAAGTTTAATAATAATAATAATAATAATAATAATAATAATAATAATAATAAATGTTTGAAAAGCTTTGTTTTAGAGTGTTATAAAAATCACATTGCTATGGAAGATTTTACTGAGGTCAGAGTTTTTAATATCTCCTTTCAGCATGAATATTTTGAAAAGCCTTCGCAGTATTTAACACGGGAATAGTGTGCATTCCTAATGCAGTACTCTACAGCTTAGCTATCTGAGTACTGGCAGCTGCTCAGGTTCAAGAAAATAGGCTTAAAAAGAGATATCACGACAATTGTATCCATTTAGAAGCAGGGAATAAATAGCTGTAAGTGTAGGATAACTCTGCCGCTGACCCCAACAGCATTGAGACTGTGTCATTAGCTCTGTGTGTGGCTGCTCTTCCAGCCTAAGATTAACCAGCTTCTTCTTTAGTAGGTGTTGGATGTGGATGGAAGATCTCTAAACTGGAGATAACCCTCATCCTTCCTTGACATTAGAGAAAATCTAATAGTTGCCTCAAAGTGGATTTATTTTAAAATCCATTGTAAACTTGATATTTAAGATCTTTCTTGGAACCTCTGTGACTCTTTTGAAGAATCCTAGGGATCCATGGAAAACAATTTGGGAACAACTGTCCTGTAATATTGAAACACTATTATAGACCATAGTTCAAAATTTAGGAATAAAACTTTGGTTGTGCTTTACATTAGCTGTTTTTATGATTTAAATTTCTAGTTACTGACAAAAGGCATTATTATATTTATCAATTTATGATATTTATTTATATTCCGCTTTTATCTCTTTGAGATACAAAGCAGCTCACAAAATTTTAAAAACTATGCAATTAAATTTTTCAACATAAAATAATAAAATAGAATTAAACATACAAGTTAGTGAAAATCACTTAAAACACTTAAAAACAATTAAAATACAACAGCACTCCCCTGGCTCACTCTTTAAAACTTTCTTCTTTAAAAACCTGCCTAAACAAAAAGATTTTAGCCTGCTGTCAGAAGGACCACAAGAAGGGGGACACTTCTTTCCGGGGAGGGGAGTTGCAAAGCCATCGAGAAGGCCTTCTTGCATCTTCATCTAAGATCACAAAGGCCTTTCCCAATGATATCAGAGCCTGGAGTGGTTCATATAGAGATACAATCTGCCAACTAGCCTGGGACCTGAGCCATATTGACGTAACCACAGACTCGGATTATGACAAATTGAATGTAGTAATCATGAGATAGATAACTCTCTTGTTCCGTGTCTTATTTTTTTATTACTAATAGCATTCAAAGAAACAACCCTACAAAAGACATATACAGAAAGACGAACTTTAGGGGGAAAAGGGACCATATCCTCCTTACAAAACCCTTTTTCTTAATATAAAACGCAAACCTAATTCAAACTTTACACAACTCAAATCTAAAATGATCATTCGAACTACTACCACCCTATACTACTAAATATCATCTACATGTAGAACAATTAAAACTAACCTAAGAGTCTCACACTCTCTGCCTGTTTTCATTTCTCAGTTCTCAATGTACTGTTCCCTTGGAAGATCTCTATATGACCACTTTTCTGCTTTTAATAACAACGCTTTCGAGTTAGAAGAATGATAGAATTTTGTCCCAATTTTTGATGTTAAAGGTGATAAATATATCTCAGTCTTTCTTGAAATTATCTTGTTTCATGTCATGTTGGACTGCACAGAACTGGAAGTGATGAGATTGCAGCTGCATTATCATTCTTTTTCCTCATTTGCATTCCTTTCTAACTAAATATAGATAGATAGATAGATAGATAGATAGATAGATAGATAGATAGATAGATAGATGTAGATGTATATTTGGTAGAATTTAATGCTGAGTCTGGAGAACAAGCCCTATGAGGAGCAGCTTCAAGAGCTGGGCATGTTTAGCCTGAAGAAGAGAAGGCTGAGAGGAAATATGATAGCCATGTATAAATATGTGAGAGGAAGCCACAGGGAGGAGGGAACAAGCTTGTTTTCTGCTTCCCTGGAGACTAGGACGCGGAACAATGGCTTCAAACTACAAGAGAGGAGATTCCATCTGAACATGAGGAAGAACTTCCTGACTGTGAGAGCCGTTCAGCAGTGGAACTCTCTGCCCCGGAGCGTGGTGGAGGCTCCTTCTTTGGAAGCTTTTAAACAGAGGCTGGATGGCCATCTGTCAAGGGTGATTTGAATGCAATATTCCTGCTTCTTGGCAGGGGTTGGACTGGATGGCCCATGAGGTCTCTTCCAACTCTTTGATTCTATGATTTATACAACTTCTGCTCTCAGTGGATAGTTCCGGGTTGCAACTCCCAGCATTCCACATCATTGACTATGTTGTGTCAGTTGATTAAGGCTGGTAGGAATTGCAGTTCAACAATATCAGGAGGATCTCATTTTGATTATGGATTACGTTTGTGTTCTAGTTGTTTGACAGAGTTCGTGAAGAGTGCCCCAGTTTTCATGAGAAGATTAAACCAATAAGTGCTGAACTCACCCACCCAAACTTGGCCATCAGTCCAGAAGATACAGCAGAGCTCCTGTCTGAAGTCAATATTGTCTTCCATTGTGCTGCAACTGTTCGCTTTGACGAACCACTGAAGTATGTTAATCTTACCTTGCCTTTATTACAACACATGCTAATCTGGAAGTTCAGACTTTAATGCTGGGTAGTATTTATCTTTGAAAAGAAATGTGTGGGAGAGTACTCTGTATTGTTTCCATGAAAGATACCAGATCGTGGTGTTTGATACAACGTTGGCAGTAGAGATTAAAAAGGTTTTGCAATTGTGGCAAGTTCACGTTTTCTGGTCCTGGGACCCTTTGACAGACAGTGATATATATTAAAAGATACAATTTTTTTAAAAGCCAGAAGTGGACTTCTGATAACTTCTCTGCATATATAGAGTTTGGAGTGAGATCTGGAAATCACTGGAATCCTTTATATACAGTCTACAGACTCCCAAGAGAAACTTTTTGGGTAACAACAACAAAACAGCTAAACTCTTCTCTGAAATCATCTAGGAGTAGCCATTTACCTTTTCAATAGCTTCTAGGACCTTTCTGCATTTATCAAAAAAGATGCTATTTTAGAAATAAACCCAGAAGTGGACTTTTGGCAACTTCTCTCTCTGTTTATACTCCTAGGTAATTCCAAAGAAGAGTTTAGCTTTTTGCTGTTGTTGTTACCCAGAAGGTTTGTCTTGGGAGTCTGGAGGGTGTAATAGCCACAACAAGGCTTGTAGACTACATATAAAGAAATTCCAGTGATTTCCAGATCTCACTCCAAACTGGGAAATGTCTATTTTGTTCTTTTTAGGGCATATCTTTTCTGCATTGACAACCTACAGAAAGAGTGGAGATAGTATTTGGGCTTCTTTTCTCTCTTAGTCCGTTAAATGCTTATCAATCCTTTATAGAACCAACAATGTTGCTTATAGAAGTTCATATCAACCAGAGCTCATCATAACTTTTCTATATTTCTCAACCAGGCATGCCCTTTTGCTAAATGTCAGGGGCACACAACAACTCCTGGCGCTGGCTCGCCAGATGAAGAACCTTGAGACTTTCATCCATGTTTCAACTGCCTATGCGAACTGTAATCGGAGATATATTGAAGAAATCATCTATCCTCCTCCCATGGAGCCGAAGAAACTTTTAGATCTTGTGGAGTAAGTTTAACCATTATCTTGAATAAATTACCTTAGTATATAGAGCACTTAGTATATCCTGCATATCAAGCTGACGATAATTTATGGTAGCAAGTTCTCACAGCTGCAATATATGTAAATTATATAATCACATAGAATCGTACTAATCTTTCTGGTCTTACCATATCCTTCCCACCTGACAGTTGGTTGAGATATTAATAGAGTTGTCAACAAATGAACTCTTAAACTGTAATTTTTCTTTAAAAATGTATGTTTGTTTCTTCTTCATGGCCTCTGTGAATTGCAGAAATGATTTTATCCTACACCTATACAGAGCACCTTCAAAACCTTCCAGAGTCCTAAAGATACGTTTTGTGATAATCCCACCCACTCTTCCTTTGCTTCCAAAACCTCAGTTCCTTTTTCCTCTGTGGCAACAGCAGCATTTTTTGTAGGAACTTCTAGCATGTATTTTTTCTGTTTGTTTATGGTTTGGTTTTGTTTTTTTGTTGACTTTCTTCCCTTGATCTTGGACTGTTTCACAGCTTCCTCTCAACTTTCTGGTGCCCCAACTGATCATTTTCTATCTTTTGTTGACTCTCTTGTGCCTTGACTTTGGACCATCTTGACCTGTATTCATTCTCTTGCACAGGCCTTAGAACATTTATTGTATTTTAACTTTGAATATGTTCTCCACTATCTTCTTTAATAAGTGTTTGGCCAATGAGGGAAAAATCCCTGATAAGGATGGCTACAACAAGTGCCTCCTTTGCCTGGGCAGGGCCCATATTGTCCAGTCCTGTTTCCACTGCTAGGCTTTCATGCCACAGGCTAGAAAAAAATCTACAAAAATGGAGCAGATAATTAAACATAAAATCTGTAAGAATATTGAAAGGAATGCCATGATAATTAAAGATCAGTATGGATTTCTCAAAAACAAGTAATTTGTTTTTCTCTTATCTCTTTAGTTGATAGATTCACAGGCCTTATCTTAATTTCAGTAGGACCTTAGAGAAGGTCTCCCAGAATACTGTTGGTAAAATGTGGTACTATTTGGTGGCTTATAATTGGTTGACTGATCAAACCCAAGGGCAATTACCATTGGTTACCCTTCATCCTGGGGAGATGTAGTAGGATGCCACAGATCCTGTGCCCCATACTGTTTGCATCTTTATCAATAACTTGGATGAAGGAATAGACGGCATACTATTCAAGTTTGCAGATCACCTCGAATTAGAAGGAGTCAATAATACTCTAAAGCAGATTCTCAAACTGTGCTCCTCCATATGTCTTTGAATTTCATCTCCCACCATTCCTAACAGCTGGTAAGCTGCGTGGGATTTCTGGGAGCTGGAGGAGCACAGTTTGAGAAACACTGTTCTAGATGACAGGTTAAGAATCCTTAACCTTAACAGATTAGAGAATTGGGCCAAAACTAAAAACTGAATTTCAACAGTGAGAAATTTCAACACAAAAGAAATGAAATGCAGAGATTGGTGACACCTGGCTTAATGACAGTACATGTAAAAGGAATCTAGGTCTCTTAGTAGGCAACAACTTCAACATAAGTCTGCAGTGTGATGGGGCAGATAAGAAAGCCAGTGTGATTCTAGGCCGCATCAATAGGAGCATAGATTAAGGGGAGTAATAGAAAAACTCTACCTGAAATACTATGTCTAGTTCTGAGCACCATAATTCAAGAAGGATAATGATAAACTGGGACATGCCCAGAGAACAGAAACTAGAGTGATAAAAGCATCTAGAAATGATACCCCATGTGAAACAGTATAGAGATAATTTTTAACCTGAAGGAAAAAAAATTGTTAAGTATTGCCATACTTGAATATTTGAAATGATGCCATATTGAAGATGAAACAAGCTTGTTTTCTGTTGCTTCATAATCTAAGACATGGAACAGTGGATTCAAACTTCAAAGAAAGGGATTACATTTAAACATTAGGAAAGCATCTTGGTGGTAAGAGCTGTTTGACAGTGGATTACATTGCCACAGGGTATGGTTGTGTCTCCTCCTTTGGAGATTTTAAAGCAGAATTTGGAGGGCCATTCGCTGGAAGTGCTTTGGTTGTGTGTTCCTGCATGGCAGGGGATTGGACTGAATTACCCTTGTTGTTGCTTCCTCACTTCCAACTTTGATTCTACTGGCACTGTTCTGGAACGGCTGTTCCAGGAGCTCCAGTTCTGTTTGCTTCGAGCTAGAGGTTTGTTTGCAATCCCAGGCTTGGGATGTTGCAGCAGGGTGGCTTCCTGTTATAGTTTGCAGTCATAGGGCAAGCCCCCTGTCCATCATTGTTAAATTTGGTCCCGCCCTCTGTTCAGGTTTTGAGAGAAGGGAAAGGAGTTATTTTCAGTTAGTGTTCTGCAAGGAAGTCAATGTACAGGATGTGTACAGATTTCCTCCTGTAAAGAGGCTTCAACCCTTAAGACCTCCCGGGGGAGAACCAGTCTTAAGAGCGTCTAAAGATTCCCGAAGGTTCCAGGGAAACAGCTTTACAGCCCTGAAGAATTCCGGAGGGAATAACATCTTTAAGCATCAAGACTTCCAGCTAAGTGATTACAAGCCTTTTGATAGGTTCGCTTGGCGTTGAAACGCAGTTCAGCCCGGTAGTGAATCCACATCAATAAGGTTTAAGTTCATAGTTAGCCTGGGAGAAATTTAGAAAGGGGTTTTCCTTTAAAGTGAAGCAAAGAATCAGTTAAGAAGTCACCAGTTGTTTGAAGCCTGAAAGTATTTGTTTGATCCTTTGAAGACAAAAGGAGTTTCTGTTGATTATTCACCAATAAAGACTTTGTTATTTCATGAGCCTTCTAAAGCCTGTTTATGGTGAAAATCCTTTAAAATTTCTCTTCGGGCCCCCTGGCTTCCTGCTGGGCTAAAAGGTGCACGTCCTGTTTTAAAGGCTCTTCGTTTCAAGCCCAGCGACGACAGAACAGGCACTGATGGACATACTGATGTACCAACTAATGACTACATATGAAAACTCTGAATGAGGAATTTATTGATAAGTGCTACCCCTTGTATTATGTTTACCAGAAAAGAATAAGCTCTGCACAACCCTTTGTCAGATATTTTTATGCTCTTAAAAGTTCATTTTAATGTTATTTATTGATAGTTTCAAATGTAGTTCTAAACAAAAAAGGAAAATTGTAATACCTTGATTAAATTTCTCAATAGAAGCTTCATGTAGGTTTTTTTATATATATTATTTTTGTTTTAATTTTTACGCACAGTTATTATCACTTTTAATGGCTGAACCCTGAAGAATACAGATTCCAGTTCTGTGTCTCAGAGATGAGGGGCCAAATGAAGAAGGGAAAACCTTACTGAGTAAATTAATTGAAAATCCTCCCTGTCAGGTCTCCTGATTTGCATATTTTAAAATCTAATTATGTGGATTCTGACAGACTACAGTCTACAGACCACAGTCATCAAATGCAATGGGGCGTGTTGGTTTAACACTAAAAAATGTGTGTGTAAATGAATACTTGATCAAATGAGATGATGTGAGAAACACAAATAAATTGCCAAGAGAAAGAATTTTATGACCTTGCAAGACACTCCAGAAAATTAAAGCAGTAAGATGATCGTCCTATGTTCTTAAGTGGGAAAATGTTCCAGTTGTAAAAAAATCTCTGGAAATGAATTTATATGGATTTATATTGAATGAATGCTCTAAATCAGTGGTTCTCAACCTTGCTAATGCCGTGACCCCTTAATGCCGTTCCATATGTTGTGGTGCCCCCAACCAGAATATTGTTTTCGTTGCTACTTGATACCTGTCATTTTAGTATGGTTATAAATCATAATGTAAATATCCGATATGCAGGATATATTTTCATTCACTGGACTAAATTGAGCACAAATACTCAATATGCCCAAATGAGAATTCTAGTGGGGTTGGGGGGAGGGGAGGAGGATTGGTTTTGTAATTTGGGAGTTGTAGTTGCTGGGATTTATAGTTCACCTATAATCAAAAAGCATTCTGAACTCCACCAGTGATGGATTTAAACCGAACTTGGCACAAAGAACTCCCATGACCAACAGAAAACACTGGAAGGGTTTGGTGGGCATTGACCTTGAGTTTGGGAGTTGTAGTTCACCTATATCCAGAGGAGCACTGTGGACTCAAACAAGGATGGATCTGGACCAAACTTGGCACAAATACTCAGTATGCCCAAATGTGAACACTGGTAGAGTCTGGGGAAAATAGACCTTGACATTTGGGAGTTGTAGTTGCTAGGATTTATAGTTCACCTACAATCAAAGAGCATTCTGAACTCACCAACAATAGAATTGGGTCAAACTTCCCACACAGAATCCCAATGACCACCAGGAAATACTATGTTTTCTGATGGTCTTTGGCGACCCCTTGGATACCTCCTCACGACCCCCAGGTTGAGAAACACTGCTCTAAATCTAATTTCAAATAGAGTCGAACCATCAAATCGCTTGGATTTAAAAAAGTGTTGTACTATAAACTTGTGATCTTCTGCTCATATGAACAAGTTATCCTTCCTGCAGTGCCCAAAGGGATGTAAACATTAGCACAGTGACTTCTTTTAAAAAAACATGTATAGTTTGCAGGGCAAACCACTGAAACTCTGTCCATTTTATTTCAGTTACTGTTTTGCTCTTCTGTTTTCTTCTGCTCACATCCATTCTTTATTTTCCCATTAGATGGATGGATGAGTTCCTCATTGAAGAGATCACACCCAAGCTGATTGGAGACTGGCCCAATACCTACACATTCACTAAAGCCTTGGCAGAATATCTGCTTCAGCAAGAGAAAGGGAACGTAAATGTTGCCATCGTCCGGCCATCCATTGTGGGAGCCAGCTGGCATGAGCCTTTCCCCGTAAGCATAATTGCTCTTCCTTTCTGCTGAAGATACTGAAAATGCAGCTGTTGCTCTGTCTTAGTAGATCACAAGTTGAGCTGCAGCAATGGGTTACTTCTAAAACAAATTAACAACAGAAATGATTTTTTTTTAAAGAACCCACTCTTTTTCCATGCTGTGAAATGAAGAAAATGTCCCTCATAGAATGTCCTCTCCCTGCTTCCGAAAATCCATGCATTTTTCCCTTTGTGTTCTTTTTCAGGGTTGGATTGACAATTTCAATGGAACAAGTGGCTTCTTTATTGCGGTATGTACAGATACACTTAAGAATGTCTAGAGCAGGGGCCCTCAAACGTTTTAAACCGAGGGCCAGGTCACAGTCCCTCAAACTCTTGGAGGGCCAGATTATAATATGAAAAAAATATGAATGAATTCCTATGCACACTGCACATATCTTATTTGTAGTGCAAAAAACACACTTAAAAACAATACAGTAATTAAAATGAAGAACCATTTTTAAAAATATAATCTTATTCGTATTTCAGTGGGAAGTGTGGGCCTGCTTTTGACTGATGAGATAGGATTGTTGTTGTTGTTGTTGTTGTTGTTGTTGTTGTTGTGTGCTTTCAAGTTGTTTCAGACTTAGGTTGATCCTGAGTGAGAGCTGTGTAAATGACCTTGGAGGACCGTATCCAGCCCCCGGGCCTTAGTTTGAGGACCCCTGGTCTAGTGCCTTTAAGTTTAAGAGCCAGCAAGAGAAGGCTGGAGCCCAGAAGGGGGAGCCTGAGGAAATAGGGGGAGGTAGAGTCTCATGGTGCCTGCTGAAAGCAAAATAGTGCTGTTGTGGTGACACTTTTTCATTGTTCTGCAGTAAGAAGTTAATTGGTCAAATAATCATTTTGGAGAGGGTTCTGTAAATTAAAAAGGGCTTCCAGATGATTATATTGACCAATGTGTACTTTGCTTTTGCTCTTTGCGAAATCTAAAGAAGGTTATTTGAATAGAGATGACGGAGTCTTCCAAAACTCAGATATACTTCAAAACCCTCACAAAGAATATGACTAATTTTTCAGAGGTAGTCAAAGATTTTTTAAAAAGTGTCCTCCATATCTGATTTTCAAATCTAGCTGGAGATCTGAAATGCCCCCTTTCTTCCCTTGTATCCTGGAAAGGATAGCATCCTTTTAAACCAGTCTTGTCCGACCTGTGACCCGTGACCCGCATGTGGCCTTGCACAGCTATAAACATGGTCCAATACAAAATTCTAAAATTTACTTAAAATATTTGGGGGGTGGATTGTAACTTGTTAGTGCAGTTTTGGGGTGCAAAGTTTGTACATGACAATTGAATGGAATGGAATATTCAGAGTATGTTACGTCCGCAGATTCTGAAGTATTATTCGCATTCTAATTGCCAGAAAAAATGAAAAGTTCAAAATTGACTAACAAAACAAAGAGCAAAAGGACTCTGTATTTATGTAATCTGTGGCAATTCTTCGTCCAATAAGGCCCAGGGAAGTCAAGAGTTTGGACACTCCTATTTTAAACTATAGCAGCAGCAGGAATTGACTAAAGAATGCTTTCATGCAAATCACTTGTAGTCTGGGTCCTTTAAGTCTTTTTTGGATTAGTTGGTTGAGTATTCTTATGTATACTGTATTTTTTTCTATTGTGAGTCCCGCGTCCCTTCCGGGGGAGGGGGCAGGGTATAAATAAAGTTTTATTTATTTATTTATTTATTTATTTATTTATTATTTTGCCTGATTTGTGAGAGTACTGATAAAGGTATAACAGGGAGGAATAATTCACACTGTTTCAAGGGGGGGGGGGTATGAAGGGAAGCTGAATATAGCTTATTCCCCATGCCCCAAGATAAACTATTCCATGGGTGGTGGTGGTGGTGGTCATGGGAGAGAGTTCCAGTCAAATGGCAGCCACCAAAAAGAACCCCCCTCTCTCTCATGTGATGGTGGTGGAACTGAGAGAAGGGTCACTCCTGAAGATATCAGGGCCTGGGCAGGTTTGTACCAGGAGATACAATCTGCCAAATAGCCTGTGTCTATGCCAGATAAGGCTTTATAGGTCACAATCACCACTTTGAATTGTGTCTGGAAGCAGACTGGCAGCCAGTGGGCTGGTACAATGGGAGTTATACACTCCATGTAGGGATTTAGGCTCTCAGTTCCAAATTTGGTTCAGCATGTGTTTCTTTTGCAATGTAAGAGGACACAAAAAATCTGTGTAAAGTCATAATGAAGGAAGCAAATTACCTATTGGAATAGTCTGAAAAATGAATTTCACCAGTTAGACTGCATCCCCTCAGTTTTGTGTTGAGGCTAGATGACCTCAAATTGGGATCCAAATTTAAAAATTAGCCCTGGTCCTATTTGTGCTACTACCAGCCATCTGTTTTGTTTCATTTTCTGAGCAGAAAAACATTGTGATCTAGAAATTGAGCTTCCTCCTTGCTCTTCATTTCAAGTTAATTAATTGTAAATAAATACTCCCAGTCACTAGTAAAATGTATGTGTTGCCTACTTCCGGGTTTTCTGTGCTTGGGACAGTCCAAGAAAGAATGGGCCAGAGAGGAAGTCTTATTTCACCCATTTTTGCAGTTGCAATGTTTTGAGGGGGAGAAGGGTACAATATTCTTCTTGTATGCCTGAAAGGAAGGGAAGACTCGGATTTTTTAAATAATATCTAAGAATGCTTGAAAAAACTAATGTTTTTCATCGCAACATGAGTACAGTGTTCCCTCACTTATCGTGGGTCTTACTTCCAGGCCCACAAAAAGTGAAAATCCGCAAAGTAGGGACACTCTGTATTATCCGCCATCTTTGCCACCCTCCCTGCCCTCCCTTCCTCGCTCCCTCACCCTTTCCTCCATCACTCACTCATTCACCAGGCCAAGTCCTGGTTCTGCCACTGCAATCCGTTCTGGTGAGTGAGCAAGCGAGAGAAGGTGGCAGAATAGAAGCCTGGAAGAGGCAGCCAGGCTTCTGCAGCTGCTGCCACCTTTGCCACCCTTCCCTTCTAATTCGTTCGCTCACCCTCCCCCCACACTCCCCCCCCCCTGCTCACTAATCACCGGGCCAAGTCCTGGTTCTGCCACCGGGACCTGGCCCGGTGAATGAACAAGCAAGAGAGACCAGGTGAGTGAGCAAGCGAGGGCAGCAAGGGCAGTGGCAGAAGCAGGAGCCTGGCCACCTCTTGCAGGCTCCTGCTTCTGCCTTTGCGGCCCTCCCTCCCTCGCTCGCACACCACCCTCCCTTGCTCGCTCGCTACTCACCGGCCCACCCTCATGGCAGAATCAAGACTTGGCCTGGTGAGTAGCAAGGAAGGAAACTCATGAAACAGCTAGTCCGCAAAAAGCGAACCGCAAAGTAGGGAGGGAATACTGTGTAATTAATCTAATATTTCTCATTAACAATCAAATTTCATTTTAGTGGGTTTAAATTTGTTTTTGATGTTTTAGAATTCATGTTCTGATTCACCTGTATTGTGACTGAGATGTGAAATTGTGCTGCAGAATGTGCTGAGTTCTTTCCCTAACTCATAGGCTGGAAAAGGAATTATACGGACTGTAAAATGCAACGTGGAGGCAGTAGCAGATATTGTTCCTGTAGATGTTGCTATCAATTTAATTCTGGCTACTGGATGGCACACTGCAGTTCACAGGTAGGACTACACTTTTCAATTGATTTATTATTTACTTTACATATTTAACAATTACCTCTCAGTCGTTTACTCTTAGCAGCTAAATATTATTTTAAGAAGACTAATTTCAGACTAGGTTTACTTTTGAATTCAAACAATCAGAGAAGGACCAAAGTCATGCCAAAATACTGTCAATAATTGTGACCTCAACTGAAGAACTTCTAGCCCAATAATGCCATAGAGACACACTTGAGAAAATGCCCAGAGAATACATATTTTGTCAGACATGGATAAATTAAACCATAAATAAGAGCAGTGTTTCTCAAACTCTGTTCCTCTAGATGTTCTGGACTTCAGCTCCCACAATTCCTAACAGCTGGTAAGCTGACTGGGATTTTGGGGAGCTGAAGTCTAAAACACCTGGAGGAGCAGAGTCTGAGAAACACTGGAAAAGAGGATTGTACTGTACTGTGTATTATTTACTCTCTTCCCCCTTGTTTATTTTTCAGACCAAAATCAATGCCGATATATAATTGTACCACAGGTGGTATGAATCCATTTTGCTGGGGAGAGATGGGTAAGTTTTACTACACTGCAGACGCGAGTCCAGATTTATATGCACTCTGCCAGTATAATATTAAAAGTTTGATTGGCTTTTCCACAGCATTAAATTCCAATGTTTGCCAATGTGTTGGAATTTATACTTTTAACTTTTCCATCAATGATGTGGAATTAAGAACTGAAGACTTAAATTACCGAAGATGGTGATAACATAAAATGTTTGTTCATTCACCCAAACTGGGTTATTTTATTTATTTATTTATTTGTCGTGTCAGATCAACCAGTCAATTATATTACCCAAACTGGGTGAATGACCAGTAAAATGGTAAATGAGATTCAATATCTGCATACATAAAATGATGCATATTGAGGCAAAATTCCCATTTTGCAGGTATGCTGATGGGATTTAAGATGATAGTGACAAACCAGGAAAGGAATCTTGCTATGGTAAATAGCTCAATAAAAACATCAGTGCAATATACAGCTTTTTTTAAAAAAAGAGAAAACCACACATGTTGCCAAAAGGGTCACTATGGGGCTTCCCTTGGCTGGTAGCTGAGGGAAGCCCCATAGCTGCAAAGGAGGCAGGCAGGTGGACGGAGGAGTGAAGCTTCACTTCCTCGTGTGACTGCCTCCTTCCATTGGAGCTACAGGACGTGCCTTTTCAAGCAAGGCAAGCCTGTGGAGGGGAGAGGCAGGCCACCTACCTGCCTCTCAGCTGTCGCCTTCATATAATAGTAACACTGTGAAATAAGGGTGCAGCTAATATGTAAGAAATAGTATTATGCCAATTTTGCTACCCCAAAAATAGGAGTGCGAGTGTTATCCGATGGCAACTATTATGTGATGGAATATGATACTTAGCAAACTGAAAATAAAACTGTCAGTATAATACTGTGTTATTCAAATCCATACTGTAAGAGAACAAAAATTTGCAGATCCTTCAAAAAAGATGTAGCATTGAAAATGTGCAGAAAATGACAACCAGGTTAGATGTTTCAGGTTAAAAGGCTTTACATTAGGCCTGTGCGGTTTCGTTCGTTAATTTCGTTATTCGTAAAACATTCGTTATTTTTAGCATTTACGAAGCGATATCGAAACACTTTTTCAAACCCGGAAGGGTTTTAAAATAACGAAGCGGCATCCCCCATCCTTTTAACGAGCTTCCGCCCGTTTCGGAAATTGGATGGAGGATGCTGGTGCCTGGGAGCCAATCCGGCGCTCCCAAGCAGTGCACCGTGGCTGTTTGTTTTGATTGGCCGGCGAGCCCTTTCAAAGCGGCTCCGCGCGGCCGGCCGTAGCTCATTGCTGCAGAGGGCGAGGGAGAGAGAAGAGGTTGGCTTGGCTAGCAACTGGATTGGATTCATTCATTCCTTGCTTGGATTCATTCCTTGCTGCTGTGAGTGCTGCTTATATTCCTTGCTTGGATTCATTACTTCCTTCGGTTTTTGTGAATTTGTTTCTTAATTTTTTGGTTAATTTTCCATTTTTAAATATTTTTTATTATTTTTTAATATTATTTTTTTAATATTATTTTAATATTATTCTTAAAAAATATTCTAAAAAAGAAAAGACTCTTCTGTTGGTGTTTTCTCTCATTTGCTGTCTCCTGCCTGTGTTTGGTCAACATTTGGGCCATTTTTTGGTTAATTTTCCATTTTAAAATATTTTTAATATTATTTTTAATATTATTTTTAATATTATTTTAATATTATTCTTAAAAAATATTCTAAAAAAGAAAAGACTCTTCTGTTGGTGTGTGCTCTCATTTGCTGTCTCCTGCCTGTGTTTGGTCCACATTTGGGCCATTTTTTTGTTAATTTTCCATTTTAAAATATTTTTAATATTATTTTAATATTATTTTTAATATAAATATTCTAAAAAATTCGTTAATATTTACAAAATTTCGTAAATACCAAAACTTTTTTTGGGGAAAATTTTGTAATTATTTTAAATATCGAAACAAAAAAACACCCCAATTACAAATCGATTTTAGAACCAAATTTTTTCTTGATCAACCAGGCCTACTTTACATCCAGAATTAGTTAGTAAACCTGCATTCTCAACACAGAGAAACAACCTACTTTATGTCCCAACCATCCTTGAGACTCAGCCTGGGAGAAAGGTAGATATAAATAAAGTGACAGATGGTTATTTTAAGTGTCAGGAAATTAAATTTGCAAAATCTAGACCAAGTTAGCAGTTAGCTGGTAACAGTGAATGACCCCGTATTCTAGTATTTACATGGATGGATGAGAGAAACCTTTTATCAATCTCTCAATACCAGGAATAATTGTATACACCTCGGTCATGTCTCTCCTTATGCGGATTTTATTCAACGCTAAGCTAATTGTTTTGCAACCTTTCTACATTGAAGAAGCTCTCCTGTTAAAAAAAAAACACTCTGAACTCAATCCTGGTTGAGAAAAGATGTACAGTTTTCCCCCCAAAAAACAAACAAACAAACAAACAACAAAACAGAACAACAAAAAGACCATTGTTTTTTGTTGTTTTTTTTAAAAAATCCATCAAACACGCTTGTTATGTAAAAAAACATAATTTCAGTTAGCACAGGGTGGAATATTGGAATATCATGTGGTGCTAGAACTGAGTCTGAGGTATTTTCCATGTACAGTATAGGTCCAGCCTTGTCAAACAATTCGGTTTTTCCAGACTGGTCTGAACAAGGATTAGTTCTTATGACAGCTCCATGGATTTTGCCAAGTTTTCGTCATCTCTGTGCCCATACATTCCATTTTTGGGGGGAGACTAGTAATTTCTTAGATCCATACTATGGTTCTTCCAAATAAATTTATTTAAAAAAACAACCAAGGCATTGGTTGTTGTAGGTATTTCGGGTTTTTGGGTTACATGGCCATGTTCTAGAAGCATTCTCTCCTCTGAGGATGCTTTCCATAGATGCAGGTGAAATGTCAGAAGAGCATGCTTCTAGAACATGGCCATGTAGCCAAAAAACCTACAACAACCCAGTGATTCCAGCCATGGAAGCCTTTGACAATACATTAAACCAAGGCATGGTTTGCTATAGTGATCCTTTGGCTTGAATTGTGAATTTTCTCTTCTCTGATTTTTAAGAAAATTGTTCCATATAATTATATTGGAAAAGTACCATTTCACTTAATCACTGTTTATGTGTGTCACTTGTTGACTGATGGAGACCCCTTGAATTTCATAGGGTTTTCTTTGGCAATGAATACTCAGAAGTGGTTTTGCAAATAAATACAGCATTCAAATTGAAATTTGAAACAAAGAAATGAAATTAAACATATTTTTCTGATAGTTTTGAAATTACAAAATAAAAGCTATATTCACATTTGCGAGTTGGCTTTATTTTCACTTGAGAGTGGAAATAAAATATTGCACCAGATACCAGAGATTGCTAGAAAATAGTCTGAGTCAACAGAAACATTGTTTTTAAAAAATGCAAGGACTACAGCAAGAAATACCACAACCTCCCAATACATTTACGCCTTCTAGAGGAGTCCATTCAGAGCTAACTGCCAGAAGAACAGTGTTAGATGGAGGTCCCCTGCACAATAGCTGTTTTGTCTATCAGAAAATCTCCTGATTTAAGTAATACAGTGATCCCAGCTTCAGAAAAAGGGGGTTTTAAAGCTATGCCTTTCCTTCTAGCATGCCAAAAATAAGGACTCCTCCCAATTGCAGCCATTTTAAAGAACTCAGACCCAGGACCACCTAAAAGCCTTCTTCTAACATTCCACACACCCTAACACAAGTACTAAGTCAGACCCTATTTCTCACTCTCAGTCATCTGCAGAAGAACTGGGTTCTGATTTTGCATCCTCTTGTCTTTCCCACCAACTCTCAATTGATAGATATTTGTAGAGCCACTATCTTGTACTCTGACACTACTTTTGTGAGACAGTACAAGTAAGGCCAATTTTTTTTTGCATCTGTCAAGGCCTCCATTAGTAGGAAGGTGCTTCAGGGTTGTTGTTGTTTTTTAACCTGTGACACGTTCATTTTCAACAGAAAGAGAGAGGGGACATCTCCCCCACCCCAAGATGCCCAAAGTAAACATTGCTCCTGATACTGACTTTTTCTTCACTTGTTTTTAGCATCATTATAGTCTTGACTTCGGCTTAACTGGAGTGCTCTAGTAGGGCTGCTCCCAGTTGAAAATTTGGTTAGTTTTTGTGTGTCAGATCAAGCAGGTGCAACAACCTACCTACATCAGGATGTTCTCTTCCTCCTGCTGAAAACCCACTGTGTGATATATAAAAGTGAAGAACAGATTTCTTACCTGTAACTGGTTCTTCAATAATAATAATAATTATTATTATTATTATTTCTTATCCGCCTCTTGTGGCTCGATGGCCATCTGTGCACTGACACAAGCCTGCTCTATCTCCCCAAAGTCACATCACTGACACTGTCAATGGACATCACAACTAAGGTAACAGTACCTTGGCAGCTGTGACATGTGCAATAAGGAGAGAGTTCTACTGTGTTCAGAATTTAGTTGCTTTACAAGTGCAAAACCCACTGCACGAGTACACAGGTGACCACTCAGTGAACTACAGTTGACAGTAAGTAACCTGTTCTGCTCAAAACTAGGTGAAATTAGAAAGGTGAACTTCATGCATATTTAGGAAATATATATACAATCACAAAAACCTTTGTGTAGTTGGCTGTTCATCTGCAGTCCCTAACACAAATACAGTCTTTATGGGCTTGTAAACAGTAGATAGATTTCACAAGGCTGAAATGGGTTTCCTCCTTCCATGTGGATTCTTGTCAAGAGTCTAAAATTGTTTGCAGGTGGGGGTTGTTTTTTTTTTGCAATGTCTCTTTTATTGTTGGTACTAAATAAATTCAGGTATATTCACATATTCCTGCAGGTATGTGTTTTGGTACTATTAGTCTTTTGATGAACACGTCTGTTTTCTCTTATCATGCAGAACATCATGTCATATCTACATACAAGAGAAATCCACTGGAGAAAGCCTTTAGAATACCTAATGCTAACATGACCTCAAACTATTTGATGCATCAGTATTGGACAGCAGTCAGTCACAAAGCTCCCGCCTTTCTCTATGATTTGTATCTGAGACTAACTGGAAGAAAGCCAAGGTGAGAGGAGGCATGTTGTGTCAGTGTGCTAACAATTGATACTATGCACAAAACCTTTCCACGGTTATGATAAAATCAGGCCTGTTGCACAGGCTGCTTTTCCTGCTTTTGTGCTGTTATTGAGTGTGACTCTGAATTGGGGATGGAGAGATAAGATAAGCTAGGAGCTTGTGTGTGTACACACAAGCACAAGCTCCTATGAATTTCATAGGAGTTTCCTAGACAAGGAATACTCAGAAGTGTTGCCATTTCCTTCTTCTGAAATATAACTAACAGCACCTGGTATTCTGTTGGTAATCTCTCATCCAAGTACTAACCTGGACTGACCTTGCGTATCTTGCAAGATCAGATATGATCTGGCACCTAATCTGCTCTGATTAATATGATGGCATTTGCTACAGGTAGCAATCTTTGCATGCCTTTGTTATGTAATTATTAATTTGCTTGTTATCAGTCATCCTGCGTGTTTGCTTGACCCCAGACACTCAGTTCATTCTAGCCATCGACTCTTCTCTCTCTCTCTCTGTCTCTCTGTCTGTCTAGTTAATTTGATTATTTCCAATGTTATTTCTCATGTTTCTCAACTGCTTATTAGAACCTAGATTATTATTTTCTTCTGTTTATTTTTTGTGTGTGTTTTCTGGTACACAACCCTTTGAAGTATATGCAGTAGCTAGAAATAATCCCCTCTTTGGAGCTGTTGAGTTTTTGTGAAGTGGTGAATAGGTAAACAAGCAAAATGTCCTTACTAAGTGATATAGTTATTATTAGAAAAATAAGGGGATGGACTATAATTACTATATCATTTAGTAAGAAAAACTCAACAGCCCCAAAAGAGGGGATTATTTCTAGGTACTGCATATATTTGACATGTCATACTTATTATTAGGAAAACTACTTACAACAGGGCTCCCTGGTAGTGCAGCAGGTTAAACCATTGAGCTGCTGTACTTGCTGACTGAAAGGTTAGTGGTTCGAATCCGGGGAGCGGGGTGAGCTCCTACTGTTAGGCCCAACTTCTGCCAACCTAGCACTTCGAAAGCATGCAAATATGAGTAGATCAATAGGTACCACTTCTGCGGGAAGGTAATGTCACTCCATGCAGTCATGCTGGCCACATGACCTTGGAGGTGTCTGCGAACAACCCCGGTTCTTCAGCTTAGAAATGGAGATGAGCACCATCCCCCAGAGTCAGACATGACTAGACTTAACTTCAGAAAAACCTTGATAATTCCTTGATAAAAATCTTAAACATCATATAATTAAATCCATAGTATCATCATTAGCATTTTATCAAATCTCTCCTTTTGAACAAAGCAGAGCTTATTCATCCAACTGTACCATAAGAGATAAACTTCCTAACACAAAAAAGAGATATACAGGGTGCAGCAGCATAACTTCCTTTTTAAAAATGTGCGCCATTCAGTCAGTTGAAGATGTAGCAGAGCGCTAGTGGTCTCGTTCGAGAGGCGGAAGTATAAAGTTTTGTCCTGACACAGTACAGTCGCCATCATGCGTTGGAACAGTGAGGAGCGTGCTTTGCCATTGAGGCCTACTTTTCGAGTGGATGTTCTGTTATCACAACCCAGCGCGCCTTTCGGAATCACTTTAATTTAGCCCCATTGGCCCCTGTCCCGGACCGGAAATCAATTGTGATGTGGGTCACTACATTCAGACAAACTGCAAGTGCGACAGACGAAGAGCTGGAGTCCCTTGGCCCATTAGATCACCTGAGAATATTGAGGCAGCGAGAGCTTCAATTTTGCGATCACCACGGCGTTCTGCGCGCAAACATGTGTCTGCCCTTGGACTTTCCTATCATTCTGTGAGTAGAATTCTTCATGATGATCTTCATTTCCATCCTTACAAGATGGCAATTGTGCAGGAACTTTCTGAACGTGACTTCAATTCTCAGAGGAACGTATGTGAGGTTCTTTTCGAAGTCGTTCCTGAGGACACTATTGTTTTTTTTAGTGATGAAGCCCATTTTCATTTGTGTGGATCTGTCAACAAATGAAACATGTGCTACTGGGCTGACAACAATCCTCGAGAATTTCATCAAAGGCCTTTGCATTCACCTAAAATCACAGTGTGGTGTGCAATTTCCTCAGCTGGAATTATTGGTCCCTGGTTCTTTGAGGAAAATGAAGTCACAGTGACAGTGAATTCAGACCAGTATGTAAACAAGTTACAAGAATTTTTTCCCCCACCGCTAGATGGGTTGGACTTAGGGGACATTTGGTTCCAACAAGACGGTGCAACTGCACACACTTGAAGAGCATAAATGGCTGTTTTGAGGGAACACTTCCCAGAGCGCCTCATCTCATTTAGGGGGGATTTGGAGTGGACGGCCTGCTCTCCAGATTTGGCTCCTTGTGATTTTTTTTTCTATGGGGCTTTTTGAAATTCCGTGTTTATGTGAACCGTCCAAGGACCCTACAAGATTTGAAGACCGACATCCAGGAAGAAATTGCTAACACAACGCCTGCTATGTTGGCAAGAGTCATGACAAATGCCAGAAATTGGTTTACTCAGTGTATGGAGAATGGGGGACGTCACCTACCTAATTTGATCTTCAAAACTTCTTAAAACAAAACTTTAGGTATGCGCCTACATTATAAAAAAATTCTGATTCATACAATGGGTTTTATTAAGTTTTGAAAAAAGGAAGTTATGCTGCTGCACTCTGTACTTCTTTGGGATAAGCATTTTTCTGAAAACACCATTATTGAACGTCATACCTCTCAATACTACTTCTCCCAGTTCTTCCTCTTCTACAAGCTCCTTGGCACTACTTTATCCTGTCTGCTGTCAAATATCAGCCACATTCTCTTCCCAAGATCACCTTTAAATCTTCAAAAGTCCATTGAGCTCTACCACAAACCTCCATCTATATATATATATTTCATATTCTAGGCCAGTGGTTCTCAACCTGTGGGTTTCCAGATGTTTTGGCTTTCAACTCCCAAAAATTCTAACAGCTGGTAAAGTAGCTGGGATTTCTGGCAGTTGTAGGCCAAAACACTTGGGGGCCCACAGGTTGAGAACTACAGTTCTAGGCTAAAGTTGACATCAATTCCCACCCTCTTTACTTCTTCCCTTTCTTCCTCTGGAACTTCTACTTCTCCATCTTCAGTGTCCTCCTCAGAATCAAATTTCAAGTTATATTTTACTGTAAATCTTTTAAGGTCACCCCTTCTCAATTAATTTCCAGCCATATTACAAGATCAAAATCGTCCATCTTGGGTTGCATCTTTTACCTTCTCTGTTTAACTGATTTTGACACTTTGTTGTGTAACTAAGACACAGCTCAAAGATCTTATAATCACACTGTTTTCAGTAAGGCACCTCTTTTAGCCCATTATTTGTACTCCACTTTGTTTCTCAGAATTGAGATCCCAAGAAGCTTACAATATAATTAAAACATACAAAAAAGAAATAATAAAATAGAATCAAACATAGGTATTAAAACATTTCAGGAGTCATTCCTTTATGCCTCAAACAGACAAGGTAACTGTACTGAATGTTGAGCAGCATCTGCTGAATTATGGATTTTAGTCCTACAAAGAATAGAGTTCCAAACAGTCTTATTTCCCAAAACACACTCTTCTCTTTGTTTTAATACATTTTTTACTGATGGACTACGATTTCTAGATATATTCCAGTTATACTATTTCCCTTTCAAATCTTCCTTTATTGTTGTATGTGTTCAAGGACTATTGGTCTTTGTTCCAAGATGGAATGCCAAAGAAGGAGTTTTGTGCATTCCTGTCCCCATAAATGTCTGTTTCTTTTGACATTCATAGGTATAAAGGCCTGATCCTAGTCATTTCACTCATGTCTCTCTTGCAGTAGACTTAACATCTGTGAAAACATATGCTACCAACTTTTTTCTCTTGGGAATCTCAAAGATTCAAGATTCTTTTGGACTCTAATCTCAGTCTTTGATAAATTGGGATTACAGTTAGTTAGGCGATTCGTCGTTGTCCGAGTAAGATCGTCTTCCAAGATCAGTGTACTGGCGGTCGGTCCGTAGGTGACTGTGGAGCCCTATTCTTGATCTGCATCTTCTCCTGCAGTGAGGGCATCAGTTTCCAGGTTGAAGGCGGTCCCGGTCGGGGTTGGCTTGATGCGCCTTCCTCTTGGCATGTTTCTCTCTTTCACCCTCCATTCGTGCCTCTTCAAATTCTGCAGCACTGCTGGTCATAGCTGACCTCCAGCTGGAGCACTCAAGGGCCAGGGCTTCCCAGTTCTCAATGTCTATGCCAGAGTTTTTAAGGTTGGCTTTGAGCCCATCTTTCAATCTCTTTCCCGTCCTCCAACATTCCGTTTTCCGTTCTTGAGTTCAGAGTAGAGCAACTGCTTTGGGAGATGGTGGTCGGGCATCCAGACAATGTGGCCAGTCCAGCAGAGTTGATGGTGGAGGACCATTGCTTCAATGCTTGTGGTCTTTTCTTCTTCCAGTATGCTGACATTTGTCCACTTGTCTTCCCAAGAGATTTGCAGGATTTTTCAGAGGCAATGCTGATGGAATCGTTCTAGGAGTTGCATGTTACGTCTGTAAATAGTCGACGTCTCGCAGATGTATAGCAGGGTTGGGAGGACAATATAAATAATATAGACAATATAAACAAGCACCTTGGTATCCCTACGGATGTCCCGGTCCTCAAACACTCTCTGCTTCATTCAGAAAAATGCTGCACTCACAGAGCTCAGGTGGTGTTGTATTTCAGTCTAAATGTTGACTTTTGTGGAGAGGTGGCTACCAAGGTAGCGGAAATGGTCAACATTTTCTAATGTTACAGCCATGGCACTAAAAATAGAATCATAGTACCATAATTGTGTAGCATGAAGGATCCCAAGCTCTGGGATTTTAAGGAAACCTGAATTACCTGATTTAAATTTCACATTGTTATCAGAAAGCAATTACATCATCCATTTTTTCCTATAATTTGAACTTTAACCAGTCAAATGTTATTTCCAGTATAAAACAACTACTCATTTTAATTCTAACTGTAGAAATGTTGGACATTTCAATTTTTTTCATTTTTTTTCTGTTAGAATGATGAAGCTATTCAGTCGTCTGCACAAGTCTATGACATTCTTTGAATATTTTACCAGCCGAACCTGGGAATGGAGTTCAGACAATATGAATATGTTAATGAACCAGCTCAGTCCAAAGGACAAAAAGGTAAGTATTGTTTTACGATCAGTGATCAAGGAACAAATAGCAGGTTAGTTCTGAGAACATCTCAAACTATACTGATGTCTCTTTTTGTGGTCTAAGTTTTCAGAAACGTACTAGGAATATGAAGTGATTTTGTGGCATGGCATGGTTCAAATTTTAATAAAGGTAAATTTGGTATTTGCATCAGTTTGACTGCAGTAACTATTGTACTTACCAAAGCATGTGGCTTTCTGTTTTGGCTCTTCAGCCACAAGGCTCTCTAGAACCATTGTTCAGCGGTGCCAGGCAGATATGTTGCAGTAAGAGTGATTAATTAAATCATGTTGGAGGAGGCATGGCATTTCCAAGTTTTCATATACTGTGGAAATCTAATTTATTTCCAACCAGGGGATTTTCAATTTGATAGTGGAAACTGTAGCTCCCCACAATCAAGCTGAAGACTTGGTCCTAATCAACACTGGCCATTTAGGTCAGAGTAGTTTAGGAGGCTCCGGTAGCACAATGGGTTAAACCCTTGTGCCGGCAGGACTGCTGACCGAAAGGTAAGCGGTTCAAATTTGGGGAGAGTGGTTTGAGCTCCCTCTGTCAGCTCCAGCTCCTCCTTTGGGGACATCAGATAAGCCTCCCACAAGGATGGTAAAACATCAAACATCCGAGCATCTCCTGAGCAATGGCTTTGCAGACTGTCAATTCTCCCACACCAGAAGTGACTTGCAGATTCTCAAGTTGCTCCCGACATTAAAAAAAAGTTTAGGAACAGCACCCCGGTGGCCAAATGCCACACTGGGCTGATCCATGGTAACACAAGTGAAGCCACTTTAATGCAGCCTAATAGCAAAGAGTTGTTGAGAGAATTAGAAAAACTAAGCTCAGTGACCTCAGGCTTGTTCAAGAGGTTAAAAATATTAGAAAGAAGAGTCTTATTATGTTTGGTAGAAGAGGAGGAAGGAAATGGCAGGGCTACTGTGTAGAAAAAATGGTAAATGAATTCTTCCAATGCCGGCACTGTCTTACTCTATGAAGGCCTCAAACAAATGGGTTGTTCTATGCCTGCATAGAGCACATGTGGAACTTTCTAGAGCTTTATTGAAACACTAGCCGTCCCCTGCCACGCGTTGCTGTGTCCCAGTCTGGTGATCTGGAAAATAAAGTAACAAGAAAGTGTTGGTTTCTAATATATGGAATTTATTTATGTTTGTGGGCAAACAGTATTTCTTCTTGTTTCTTTGTCAGTGTTGATGTAGAGATTGTCTGGTTTGCCTACTCAGGAATATGCAACATATAATTGTCCTTCTTCAGGCATCCCTTTCAAATCTATGATACTATATCTGTCATATACATGTGTGTGTGTGTGTGTGTGAATCATATCTATCAATATCTATGGCTGGATGGCTCTTTGTCAGGAGGGCTTTGGTTATGTTTTCTTGCCCTGGTGAAGGGAGTTGGACTGGATGACCTTAAGGCAGCATTTCTCAACCTGGAGGTTGGGATCCCTGTGGGGGGGGAGGTCACGAGGGGGTGTCAGAAGGGTTGCCAAAGACCATCAGAAAACAAAATATTTTGTGTTGGTCATGGGGGTTGTGTGTGGAAAGATTGGTTCAATTCTGTCATTGGCGGAGTTCAGAATGCTCTTTGATTGTAGGTGAACTATAAATCCCAGCAACTTCAACTTCCAAATATCAAGCTCTATCTGTGTTCATATTTGGGCATATGGAGTATTCGGGCCAAGTTTGGTCTAGATCCATCATTGTTTGAGTCCACAGTGCTCTCTGGGTGTATGTAAACTATAACTCCAAAACTCAAGGTCAATGCCCACCAAACCCTTCTACTGTTCTCTATTGGTCATGGGAGTCCTGTGCGCCAAGTTTGGTTCAATTCCATCGTTAGTGGAGTTCAGAATGCTCTTTGATTGTAAGTGAACTATAAATCCCAGCAACTACAACTCCCAAGTGACAAAATCTTTTTTTTTTTTTGAGTGATGGTCACTCCTTGGGTTGTTGGGCATATTCTGTCCAAATTTGGTGTCAGTGGTCCAGTGGTTTTTTGAGTTATGTTAATCCCACAAACGAACATTACATTTTTATTTATATAGATTTTGGTGGTAACTCTCCACTGTTCTCTCCCATCCTGGGCTGTGTCCTACAACTGGGAGGAGGTATGAAAACTGGTGCATCAGGGGCCTTCATTTCCTTCCCAGAGCCTTTCAAGCTTTTGCAACCAACTACAGCAACTCCCTTGCCATCCATATTCATCAATCTTAAGTCTCAAGGCTTCACTCTCAAAACCCATGGAAAATTTCTGCTAGCGTTGTGTATTAATAGTGCTCATGTTCAACTCTCACTGATATAACAGCATATGCCACATAGTGTGTGCTGTTGAGCCTTGGAGACTGAACTCAAAAGATTGAGGGATCAGTTATATAAAAATAGTGGCTGCTAACTCCACCTCCAAGCAAGTCAGTGACTGAACAGAAGCCCCACCCCATTCATCCATGTGCTCAGAAAAAAAAACCCAAAACAAGCCCTACCCCTACACAAGACTTTTGAAAAGTACTATAGTTAAGGATGACTCCCCAAATAAAGCTTATGCTATTTCCTCAGAGTCTGACTTGGGACTTGACCATGCTCCTTCAGGTAGAAAAGTGGGCCATATTACATGCTGGATGGAGCTCTCCCAACATCTTTTGGTTTCCAGTGTGTGGTAGAGGAGGAGGAAACATCGATGGGGGAAGAATTTATATCTTGGGAACAGCTGGGGCCTCCTTTGCTTTCCCAGTAAAACACAGAGCTAAAGCTCTTTATACAGGATGAGGCAGCATAATTTCCTTTTTTCAAAACTTAATAAAACCCATTGTATGAATCAGAATATATATATATATATATATATATATATATATATATATATATATGGTATGTGCAACGTAAAACAAAACTTTAGGTATCAGAAGGCCCCTGATGCACCAGTTTTCTCATATATATATATATATATATATATATATATATATATATATATATATTCTGATACCTAAAGTTTTGTTTTACGTTGTTTTGAGGATCAAATTAGGTAGGTGACGTCCCCCATTCTCCATTCTCCATACATTGAGTAAACCGATTTCTGGCATTTGTCATGACTCTTGCCAGCATAGCAGGCATTATGTTGGCAATTTCTTCCTGGATTTTTTTTTTGTCATTTCTGGAGCAACTTGAGAAACTGCAAGTCGCTTCTGGTGTGAGAGAATTGGCCGTCTGCAAGGATGTTGCCCAGGGGATGCCCGGATGATTTGATGTTTTTATCATCCTTGTGGGCGGCTTCTCTCATGTCCCCGCATGAAGAGCTGGAGCTGATAGAGGGAGCTGATCCGCCTCTCCCCGGATTCGAACCTGCGGCCTGTCGGTCTTCATTCCTGCCGGCACAGGGGTTTAACCCACTGCACCACCGGGGGCTCTTCCTGGATGTTGGTCTTCAAATCTGTCCTTGGACAGTTCACATAAACACAGGATTTCAAAAAAAACCATAGAAAAAAAATCACAAGGGGCCAAGTCTGGAGAGCAGGTCAGCCACTCCAAATCCGCTCGAAAAATAGGCCTCAATGGCAAAAGCACGCTCCTCACTGTTCCAACGCATGATGGCGACTAAACTGTGTCAGGACGAAACTTTATACTCCCGCCTCTCGAATGAGACACCACTAGCACTCCACTACGTCTTCAACTGACTGAATGGCGCGCATTTTTAAAAAGGAAGTTATGCTGCCTCACCCTGTATCTGTTTATATCTGTTTTTCTTGATATAACATTTTATACAATTTCAAGTTCTACTGTCCCTCCTCCCCTCCGTTTGTGATATATCACTGCTGTTCTTTTTTTTCTTCTCTAATTCCAGTTATTCTGCTTCGATGTCCGTCAGCTGCATTGGTCGGAATACATAGAAAATTACTGCTTAGGAACGAAGAAATACCTTTTGAATGAAGATATGGCTGGAATTCCTGCAGCAAAACAGCACTTGAGAAAGTGAGACAAATAGAACCTTTTGTGAATACTGTGGCACCATGTGCTGTTGCACTGTTAGAATCTAGTGGTGCAACAGCAAAAAAAAAAAAACCAAAAAAAAACCTGGCTTTTAGCTCTGAATGTATAAATAAGTTTTGTTCTCACCTGCATATCTTGTTTGCAGGAAGATTCACAATTCCTGGAGGCTTTAAGAAAGACAGCCCCTTGTTTTCAAAGGAAAATTATATTATTAACTTTATTTATATGCCACCTCTCTCCCCATGGAAACTCAATGTGGCTGACAGCCACACAATCTCATGACAGATTAGAACAAAGCAAATTAAAAATTAAAAATAAATAAATATGTGTGTGGCTATAAAGATAAAATACATTAAACATCATTAAAATTACATTTAAAACTCACTGTTGTCATCCCCCCCCCCCAAAAAAAAATCCCACCCACAATCTCCCTAGCAGTGTGCCCTTCATCTTCCCCCATATGGAACAGTAATGTCTACCTGCTTGCAGATGGCCTTTGAAAACGCAATTGTTTTTCTCTGGCCAGATGGTTTACAGTTATAATGCAAATTATGGACAATACTTTGATATTTATGGATGTAGCATACTCTGATTATTCTATTCCATTCTGTTGTCTGCTACAAAGTTTGTACTTGAGAATAGCTCAATCAAGTTACCAAAAAGTCATAATGTTTTGAATAAGTTTACAATTTTGTCCTGGGCCACATTCATAGCTGTCCTGGGTCGCATGTGGCCCGTGGGCAGCAGCTTGGGCTATACCAGTGGTTCTCAACCTGTGGGTCCCAAGAGTTTTGGCCTACAACTCCCACAAATCCCAGCCACTTGACCAGCTATTAGGATTTCTAGGAGATGAAGACCAAAACATCAGGGGACTCACAGGTTGAGAACCACAGGGCTATATTGCCTACCCATCAACAAGAACAGTTTAATTGGAACAAGGCAAAGTTCAACTTGCCTAAAGGAGGCAGTTATGAGACCTATATTTAAAAATCCATCCTGGAACCCCTCTATAATGGAGAACTATTGGCGAATGTCCAACATCCCCTTTTTGAGCAAGGTTTTGCAATGTGTGGTGCCCTCCCAACTCCAGAGATCTTTGGATGGAACTGATTATCTAGATCCATTTCAATCTAGTTTCAAGCCTGGCTATGGAACAGAGATGGCTTTGGTTGTCTTGTTGGATGACCTTTGCAGAGAGTAGACGGAGAGTGGGTCCCTGTTGCTTCTCCTGGACCTCTCGATTGATTCGATACCATCAATATCCTTCTGGGTCGTCTCACTGAGATGGAACTGGGAGGCACTGTCTTACAGTGGCTGCAGTCCTTCCTAGAGGGTCATACCCAGAAGTTGGTGCTAGGGACCCACCAATTGAGAACCACTGCCCTAGATGTTTCAGCTCCAGGCTATTTGGCCAATTGCATGCCCTTGTACAAACCTTCTCAGACCCCGGAGACCTTCAAGAGAGGCCCTTCTCTCAGTCCCACCTCCATCTCAAGCTCAGTAGTTGGGAACAAGAGAAGAAACTTTCTCAATAGCTGTCCCACGATTCAGGAACTTCCTACCTAGGGAAGCTAGAATGCCCCCCCCCCCCCCCCCCACTGCTGTCTTTCCGGTTGCAGACTAAAACCTTTATATTCAGGCAGGCTTTTAAAGATGAAGATGAAGGGGGTTCTGTGATTTTTAACTTTGAATATGTTTTAATGGATTTTAACTGAATTTTAGTGCTGTTGTGTTTAATTCTGTTTTAATGTTTGGATATTTGGGCAAACTTTGGCCCTCCAGGTGTTTTAGACTGAATTGTGGAAATTGAAGTCCAAAACCTGAAGGGCCAAAGTTTGCCCTTGCCTGCTCTGGAGCAAACTACAGTTCATTATCAGTGTTATGACACAAGATTCGGGGTATATTCTGTCCATTAACTTTTGCCCACCAAGCTGATGTTTTACTCACTTTTCTTTCTTTTTCTCCAGGCTCAGGAATATTCAGTATGCACTTAATACCATCTTCCTTGTGATCATCTGGCGCATTTTTATTGCAAGGTCACAAATGGCTCAGAACATATGGTACTTTGTTGTGAACCTCTGCTACAAGTTCCTTAGCTACTTCAGAGCTTCCAGCACCCTCAGGCATTGAAATACCGCTCCAGTTATTGAGCACCATCATCTCATGAAAGGCCTCCAGCTGTTCAAACAACTATTTTGGAGTTTTTAAAATATCAGGGTATCTCTCAACTGCCAAATTATTTGACTAGCACTCAGTGTACATCATTACAGAACCTCTGACTTCTTTTAAAAAAATAACATCACTTTAATAAAGTTCTTTCTTACTGCTTTGTTCCCTCCAGTCTAAGCCATATAAAATCCATTTGGACTTTTGGGAACATTTCCTTCTTCACAACACAGGTTTGTGGCTTACTCCAAGCTGTCTTCAGTGTACAGAGCTACTTAATATCATACACGCGTACACCAAAATCCATATATTTTAAAGTTCTGTCATAGACAATGGTGTAGTAACATGGTGCCCCTTATATAAAAATGGCCAAAATAAAGGTTTGCTTTTTGTTTGTTTGGAAATTGGAGGGGGGGGGGAGGTGTATTTTCAAGATATGGATTACTGAATACAGAGGGCTGACTGTTTTTTCAGCATCATTTATAGTTGAATTAAGATTCTATTTGGGGAGAAGGATTTTTTTTTTGTCGTGTCAGGAGTGACTTGAGAAACTGCAAGTCGCTTCTGGAGTGAGAGAATTGGCTGTCTGCAAGGACGTTGCCCAGGAGATGCCCGGATGATTTTGATGTTTTTATCATCCTTGTGGGAGGCTTCTCTCATGTCCCCGCATGAGGAGCTGGAGCTGATAGAGGGAGCTCATCCGCCTCTCCCCGGATTCGAACCTGGGACCTGTTGGTCTTCAGTCCTTCCGGCACAAGGGTTTAACCCACTGCGCCACCGGGGGCTCCTGAGGAGAAGGATATTTCATTATAAATATAGTTCAAAGCTCTGCCTCAAACAAAATGAAAAGGAAATAAATCTAGATGAAGCAATTCCTTCTTCTTGGGAAACCCTGAAAACTGCTTTGTGAAAACCAGTTTCAGATCCCATCATTCTCTTCAACATACAATTGTAAGATTCTTTTGTGAAATCTATGGTAATTACACCAGTATGCATATGCAGATATACATGCATTGGCATAATTATCAAGGATTTCCCCAGATATTTGAGCATTAGTAACAGAAATATATGCATATACACACTTTACAAGGAAATTACCAGGGCTTTCCCATTTTCATGATTAATTTATAGGACGCAAATTTGCAGTTGTCTTTGTAGTAGAATTTCTTTTTCTAGAATTCAAACTACAGTACAGTAGACTCTCAGTTAACTAACACCCATAGGAATTGGTAGGTGCCGAATAAATATGCTTTCTGGCTGCTTGAGAGTTACTATAGAAGTAAGACTGACTCGTACTACACTCCATACTATGCCATAGTTTCTTAAACTGGATCCTAACCCCAAATGGGGTCCTCTTAGCTCAGTGTTGAGATCACACAAAAAAATGGCATTAAAAGGTTTCTGAACATCCATTTACATTAATCTGTTAGCAACAACATGCAGTGTTCGTAGTGGATGCTGCAAAAAATGCTTCACCTGTACTCCACAAAAAAATCAGCCTGTTTAGCAAGCCTTACAAATGCTGGTTTGTTACCAATAAATACTTGATTTTTATACCTATTTTATATACCAATATAGATCATGAAAAAAATTATTAGGTGGAAAGGAGTCACAAGTGGGAAAAGTTTAAAAAGCCGTGTACTATACTACACCATAAACTCTGTATTGACTTATGTTAATATTGAAATACAATAAGTAAATAAAGACAAACTTAACTTAATGTAACACAGTTGTATTTTATTATATACTAGCCGTCCCCTGCCACGCATTGCTGTGGCCCACTCTGATGGTCATGGGGGTTTTGTGTGGGAGGTTTGGCCCAATTCTATCGTTGATGGGGTTCAGAATGCTCTGTGATTGTAGGTGAACTACAAACCCCAGCAACTACAACTCCCAAATGTCAAGATTCTATTTTCCCCAAACTCCACCAGTGTTCACATTTGGGCATATTGAGTATTCATGTATAGTTTGGTCCAGATCCATCATTGTTTGAGTCCACGGTGCTCTCTGGATGTAGGTAAACTACAACTCCAAAACTAAAGGACATGGCTCACCAAACCCTTTCAGTATTTTTTGTTGGTCATGGGAGAACTATGTGCCAAGTTTGGTTCAATTCCATCGTTGGTGGAGTTCAGAATGCTCTTTGATTGTACATGAACTATAAATCCCAGCAACTACAACTCCCAAATGACAAAATCAATTTTTTGAGTGAAGGACATACATTGGGTTGTTAGGTGTATTGTGTCCAAATTTGGTGCCAATTTGTCCAGTGGTTTTTGAGTTCTGTTAATCCCACAAACAAACATTACATTTTTATTTATACAGATTTTATATTTTACTTTATTCATTATTGCTTAGATTTCTTTTTGCCAGTTGCTTGGGAGTTTTGATTGCTTGTGTCCGCTTAACTGAGAGTCTGCTGTATATTGTCGGAGACCTAAAATCTTTTAATTTGCAGCTCTAGTACAATCCAAACAATGGTTTAGCACACAGTTGCACAAATTCCATAGGTAGCGAATTATTTCTGCCCATCATTGATAAGGGATATACAGGTTGAGCATCTCTTATCCAGAATTCCAAAACCCCAAATATTCTAAAATCTAAAAATGACAGGTTGAGATAGTGACACCATTGCTTTCTGGTGGTTTGATGTACTCAAAACTTTGTTTCATGCACAACAGCATTAAAGTATTGTATATACAGTTATCTTCAGACTTTGTGTATAATGTGCATGTGAAACATATGCCATGTTTAGACTTGGACCTCATCTCCAAAATAACTCATTATGTACATATGTGCAAATACAAGTATTCCAAAATCCAGGGGTGGAGGGATCAAAATCCTGACACTTCTGATACTCAACCTGTTCTTCCTATTTCTGTTCTGTTTTTCAACCTTTACATCAGTACCCACTTTCAACAAGGAAAAATGTATAGGCAGTAAATAAGACTACTTTCATGTTTAAGCTGAGAAGTCCCTTGTGCCTAAACCAGAAATACTGATGCCTCTATATCAATACAAAAAGAATTATCGGGAGGTGGTTCATGCTATCATCCCTACCCATTAGAGTTGGATAGGTTCGGTTTGGAAGAACCTAAAAGTTGTAAAAAAACTTCTGACTTTGGGCTTCCATGTTCCTGATCCCAAAGAAGAGGGTCAGTCCAGATGTCCCTTGATGGGGTCTGTATATGATTTCTGCTCTCCCCCAATTTAACACAGTTTGTGCCACACAAAGTTTCTGGAGTAGAACAACTACTTTCAAAGTGAATACCACCCAATGAAACGGGAATAACACTTTCAAACCAGGAACAGATTTTATTATATACTAGCTATCCCCTGCCACACGTTGCTGTGGCCCAGTCTGTTGATCTGGAAAATAAAGTAATGAGAACGTGTTGGTTTCTAATATATTTAATTTCTTTCTGCTTGTGGGTAAACAGTATTTCTTGCTGTTTCTTTGTCAGTGTTGATGTGGAGATTGACTGGTTTGCCCACTCTGGAACATGCCACATATAATTGTCCTTCTTTAGGGGTCCCTTTCAAATCTATGATACTATATCTGTGTGTGTGTCTAATCTATGTGTGTCATATCTACTCTATCTATTCATCCATCTATATCTATCGCTGGATGGCTCTTTATCAGGAGGACTTTGATTACGTTTTCTTGCCCTGATGAAGGGAGTTGGATTGGATGGCCTTAAGTATTTTCTGTTGGTCATGGGGGTTCTGTGTGGAAAGTTTGCCCCAATTCTGTCGTTCGTGGGGTTCAGAATGCTCTTTGATTGTAGGTGAACTGTGAATCCCAGTGCCTACAACTCCCAAATGTCAAGGTCTATTTCCCCCAAACTCCGTGTTCATATTTGCGCGTATTGAGTCCTTGTGCCAAGTTTGGTCCAGATCCATCATTGTTTGAGTCCACAGTGCTCTCTGGATATAGGTGAACTACAACTCCCACCCAACCCTTCCAGTATTTTCTGTTGGTCATGGGAGTTCTGTGTGCCAAGATTGGTTCAATTCCATCGTTGATGGAGTTCAGAATGCTCTTTGATTGTAGGTGAACTATAAATCCCAGCAGCTACAACTCCCAAATGACAAAATCATAATTTTTGAGTGATGGTCACTCCTTGTGTTGTGAGATGTTTTGTTGCCAAATTTGGTGTGATTTCGTTCATTGGTTCTTTTGTTTTTAAGGTACTCATTATGCACAGAGCATTTATAGATTGATTGATGGATAGATAGATAGATAGATGGATAGATAGATAAATAGATAAATAGATAGATGATAGATAGATAAACAGATAGATTTAAAAATGCTTTTTAAAAAAAACTTTGAATTTTTTTCCCTGGCAGGGATTGAACTCACGACTTCCTGGTTCTGAGGGTGATGTACTATCCCCGAGCCACGACTTCCCTGTAGCAAACAGCAATTTGGAAGGTATACTTACTTATTCACTTCCCAGTGGGAAGCCGGGTCAGTCTATAATTTTTTTTATAAAAACTTTGAAAATTCTCCAAAAATCCATGGATAAGTCGAAAGTTATGAAATTTGGTGGGCTAACAGTGGTCCATGTGTTCTACCACTGTAGCAAGTTTCATCACGATTGGTCTAAAAATGAGGGAGGAAGAATCTCCTGAATTTTCCCCAGTGCCAGTGCTTTTTTCCTACTGTGCATGTGTGTCTGCCATTAACGAAGCAATTCCAAAGTTTTGGAAAGTTTTGATTTTTTTTTTTAAAAAGGAGTGACTTTAGAATCGAATCACCAGCTCCCCCTACATCCGAAATGAGTTTTGAACCATTTTTTATCAACCAAGCCTACTACCCATCAAAAAGCCCTGCCTTGTTTTACAACAACATTTCTTTTCAAGGGAAATCCCCAAGTAATGACTCCAGGATTTCCCTCAGGGCTAAATCTAGCCTGAGATGATTCAGATTTTTCTTCTGTTTTCTTTGGTCCCTAAAGAACATGGAATGCAGAAATGCATTGAGGCGTTTTCATTCTGAGAGTCAACTCGAAGTTCAGCTGTTCCCGCCACATTTTTCTTTTCTTTTGAGCGTCTTTGGTGCCTATTTTTTCGGCCTGTTAAGGCTAAAATTATGTGTTGCATTAAAATACTCAACAGCTGCTGGAAAAACAGTGTTGGGCTTTATTTCCTCCAATGAACTTTGACATAACTTGTATCAGGAAGTAATACACCTATGCCTCCACTCTGTACTCATTTGCCCCCTTTGTACAGTAGTTAGAATGTAGTTTAATGATGGAGTTGCAAGGACTTTATAAGAAAGTGAGGGTGGGGGGAGAATCCAAAAAGGATATGCTGCTTGAAGATGGCAGTGCAAGATACATTCTTGCATGAAATACTGACTAAAGTAGAACAAATGTGGTCTCCAGTTTTATTCAATTTC